ATTGCGAGCTTTATGTCACAGGCCGGTAACTTTATATTCACTACTTGCACGTCATGTTCCTTTTTGAAGAACGCATCCAAAGCCTTCTACTTCTCTACATACGCTCACGCTTCTACTTCTCTACATACGCTTCTACTTCTCTACATACGAGTCCAGTTTTAATTAAACATGTGCTGAATTTTTTGACTGCCTTTATTCTCGACATTACCTGCTCTAGTCCAACACGAGCTCACTCTGCAGTGACCATCTTCTTATGTCAAGCTGATCTGCACACCATCAGCGTAATGCACTCTATTCTTACTTTTACAATCTTTTTGTAGCAATATGAGTTCAAGTTGAGTTCCCACAGAAATGTAAAGTACTTTTCTTGGCAATCATGCCTTTTCGTTCTTCCTACTTCTAAGGAATTTTTAAATTATTCATTTTATTAAACGAGGTGATGTGCGCGCGCAGTTTTTATGTTTTTTTTAGTGCATTTTCTCATTTATGGAAAAAACGCAATTGTGCTCGTCATGTCCGTCCGTCCGTGACGTACGTTGTGCTCGTCATGTCCGTCCGTGTCAGACGGAATGCATTCTCTGTCGCTCACTGCAGCGAGTGATGATATAACTTTTTATTTCTAAGCTTGTTTATTGGGAGCTGGAACAGTACTGGATCGTGTACTCGTATATCGTAATTTTCTCCTTTGAAGAAAATCATTTCTTCCTCAATAGCGTCAGCTTTTTAAGAGAAATTTTTGACACCACCGAGCTAATTTTTTAACTAAATATCATATTTTATTAAAAATATTATAATAAAAAGACTTTTGGAAACATTATTTTCTAACTTTCAAAGCATACGGAAAGTTCAATTCGACCAATCAAGAAAAACCATCAAAAAATTGCTACTAATTGAATTACTCTCTGGTTTCACCAACACCTGCATTAAAGAACATTTTACTTTTAGAACATACTTCAAAAATTTTGATTATATATTTAATATTTTTACTTTTAGAACATACATCAAAAATGGCAAAAAGAACATTTTTTGCCATTTATAACAACAATTGAATCGTGCAGAAATAACTATAAAGATTCGCATGCGTATATAATGACTGGAATGATTACAGTATTAACAAATGACTATGCATCTCCACACAACACAACATCGAATGCATATTCATATTGCAGCTCGAAAGTCTGAAAGCAGAACTAAAAATTTCCTAAAATTTTCATGATCAAAATTCAACTATTTTTCTTTTAACATGATCATGATGCTCATCAAGCATCACAATTTTTGTCCAACTGCCGGCCAAAATAAACCCTATCACTTTTTATACATCTACTGCTAAAACTCTTCAGAATTTAAACATCTGCACGGCCAGCGAAGAGTAGCCAAGCGGTGCAGCTCTCGTTAGCATTAATTAAGACACCGGAACTGAGCGAGTCTAATTAGAATTTTTAAAGAAAGCAGTCTTGCCAAAAACATCAGGTGAATGCGGAGTCATCGTGTGAAGTCCAATCTGTTCGGAATTAATTGAAATAAATGTTTAATTTAAATAAACGAAAATTTTCCATTTCATGGCAATTTTCACGTTAAATTCAATCACATTAACGGAAAGATGATACTACACTCAATCACATAAATGGCACAAATAGTGTTAACAAATTTACTTCGTATTAAGTGAAAAATAACTCTTTTATACTTCACTATTGATCGAGTGGCTTCAAGTATTTCTCCACATTTCTTGAGCACAATTCTAACGTTTCACGCGTGCAGGTTGAGAGAACACGACGACACCGAATGCCTTTTATTGCTAAGACAGCAACAATGAACACGAAAAAATAACTTGGGATCATAACTTGAGTGACGATCTACTCCTTTCTCTATAGTTTTCCTCAGCAAGACCAAGTCTTAAAAGATCATGTCATACAAAACCAAGTCATGCAAGACTTCTTTAGTCTTACGATTACCTAGATGCAGAATCGATGAAGCTTTTGTTTTTCGTACTCGTGCTCCTGCATCTGGAGTTTGGAAGCTCCATGTGGTCACCGAAACTCGAAAACGACAAAATTTTAGTCGAGAGTGTTCAAAGATAACACAATTCCAGTCTTAAAAAACAAGTGTTTTGAATAAATATCAAAGATTATGAAGCTTCTAATTCTTTATTTTCGACGTTTGAGTGGGGATCTAATTGATGCACACAAGTGGTCCCAACTCGCATCGTTGACTCTCAGAGTATGAACGCATTCAAGAAGAGAAAAGATAAAGCTACGCAAAGCTGTATATTTCGACTAGAAGTGCCTTCCACCTCACAATATAGTGGATGAACAGCAGCTACGTAGATTCAAAGTCAGTTTAGATAGAAATGGACAAAAGGCTATCTGTCAGAATTTCCAGTAAATAAAATAAGTCAAGAACATTACAAGAATCGGTGACAGGTGAAACTCGGTTATATTCTTCAACGTCGATACCACTATATTATGTGATACTATACTAAGACTAGGTCTTAGAAGACGAAGTAATAGGTGATTAAGTCTTGCGAGATCAAGTCAAGCATGATCGAGTCTAAAAAGATTGGGAAACATTCAAGACCGAGTCACCGTAGTGTCTTTGAACGTCTTTAGAACAACACTGTTTCTTCTGGCCAGCGTCCAGCAACATGAAATCTTTGTTAAACAATGTTTAAAACAATTAATAATGTCTATAATCAGTGCTTTAGAATGCAAAGCGTGCGTATATAGTCATAGTTCTAGAACACAATCATACTGCTTCTGAAATATATCAAGCGAGTGATACCATTTCTATTTAGAAGAAAGTATTCAAATGAATTTGAAGTTTTCATATTAAACGAGTAAATAGAGTAGCTTGTTCAGTTCTTGCTCAGAAAGACGTAGCTTTTATTGTCATTATTATATAGCAATCGAAGGTGTTCGGAATATTTGCTTAACTTCAAAACAAATACATGATGCTCATGATATATGAACAAAAGTCACTGCTGCAGGACAGTCGTAAGTGTCCGGAATCATTGCTATAGATTCTAGAACACACAGCTTCTGGACTCAATGCTAAGGTACAACACAAAGCAGCTCAATGGAGGGAATGAACTCTGGCTGAGGTGCAGTCAGCATCATTTGCATTTAAAGGGAGAAAGTTTTAATGAAGAAGTCTGAAGCGCGGCCTATCGATGCGCAATCCTTTTTCAGAGCATTCAGCGCTGAATGCTTCAGAGTTTCGCTTTAGGATATGCCGCGGCCACGTCAGGAAATTCCAGTTTTTAACGTAACGCTTCCTTTGTTCCAAGCAGAATTGTCCTACCGTTCGTATTTTATTTGCGCAAAGAAGTAAAAAGAAAAATATCGAGATGATTTAGTTGAATGCGGATAATAGAGAGAATAAACAAAACAATCGGAAAAAAAGACAGCAGTAATATTGAAAATTGGTCTTACATTCAGTCGTTTTATGTGTCAACGACTTCTGTTCAAAATGTTGATGAATTAATTTCTTTCTGCAACCCCATACGATATATAGAGACACAGAATGATTCTGACATGTAAATAGACCTCACTTGTATAATATTTAAACAATTAACATATCGTTCACAAATTAAGGTTCAAAAATATTCACTTATAGGAAAACATTTACAAATTTTATCTGAAAATACAATAGTTGAACAACATCTGGAAAGGATTTAACAAATTTTACCAACCGATGGAATTTTTAAGATATTGCAAAAATGCCCTTATTTCGCAGGGATTCAACCATTGTTCTCTCGAAATCTTCATTCAAATCCAATACTGTATAAATATAATATGCGTTTAAAAATTACTTTTTAAAGACAACACTTCCAAAGAATCCAGTGTCTCCAATCTTACAGATGTACCATGAATTTCTCATTAAATTTTCGAATATTAAAAAAATTAATTTTTCAATTTTTTAAGATATAAATTTTTTTAATATATAAATTTTTTCAAAATTATTTATTCTATTAATTGATTCATGCATTGCCTCTGACTTCACACAAGTGTGCAAAATTTCAGATAAATTAGACAGGTAAAAGTGTGTCAAATATCAGTTATAAGATTTGTAGCTGACAAAATTATTTTTTCAATTTTTTTAATATTGAATTTTTTTTTATTTTTAAAATCATTTACTTTGACATTTGATTCATGCATTGTCTCCAACTTTACACAAGTGTGCAAAATTTCAGATCGATAGGATAAGTAGAAGTGTGTTAAATTTCGATTACAAGATTTGTAGCAGACAGACAGACAGACAGACAGACAGACAGACAAACAAGAAGTGAAGTTAAAGAGAAGTGTTGTAATAAAGGGGGCTCAGCCGTAGGCCACAAATTTTACTCTTAAATAAGCCCTGGAGCCAACGCCTAGCTTCACCATGCTTTAACTTTACGCAGCCTCTGAACTAGAAGCCGCAGACTACGCTTGAACTCCGTAATCCAGACCAGCGATACACTGCCGAAAGATAATAGCGCCGTAGGTCTTCAGCCAATGCTTAAGCATGCTCGCTCATAAGCAGGCAGTTCCTCATCCTGCGGTACCTACTCCGGCCTAAACTCTTTTGGCCTAACCTATTCACGCTGTCCCGGCTCACATCCTTCTTGCAGCCAATGACCGGCTCTACCCGCACACTTGGACCGCCTTTCTAGCTTCTTGCAGCCAATGAGGCTAGGTTAGGCCCGCTCAGGTTTATTTTGGGTGGAGAAAGGTTGCAGCTCGTATAGGTTAGGCCAGAGGAGGTTTGGCCAGATGCAGTATATATGGCCATGTTTACCTTTGGCAAGCTTATTTTGTAGCTGTGGACATCTGGCGCTATGGCTTGGAGCACTTGACTTCATAGGCCTTTATGCACTCTAGCGTTCTTCCATATGGAAATGAATATGAACTAAGTGTGAAGTTTGGCAAAGCTGGCCTCCGGCATACGCCCCTAGATAAATAACTAGTTGAACTACACAGCAATCGAGAATTTCTTCTTTTGCGGACAGGTATTTTTATCTGCGATCTAAACAGCTGATTTATCATCGCCTTGCATCCTCAGCCCGCAATAGTTAGGTTACTTGACTTTGCTGCGGGTTATTTGTTATCGAGCGGGTTATTTGTTATCGACTATTGAAAAAAAAGACTGTTACGGAATTATTATAGCTAAACTTTTGAAATTATTTTATTTATATTATGTTCAAGGTAGAGCCTAGAGGGGTTGCAATGCTTAAATTTCTATCCCTATATTATAGCCGACTAGTTTGTTGCTCAGGCTGCACCAGACTTTTACATTTCACAGTTTCTGCTGGCTCTCCTTTTCATTCTACTGCTACACTGTTCACAGAAAAAGAAAAGATTGACCAATTTGAGGTAAAATTGCATGTGATATCACTTTTTGTAAGATAATAAATTTTAATCTGATATAATATTGTGTTTTTGTGTACTTGTTGATGACTTGATGTTATGTCATGTTCTTATTGATTTTTTTTCAGTCCAAATTCTTCCTTCCATCAATGCTATCATTAATGGCAATAATGCTGATAGTTATAGACTATAGAGGGAACTTAAGTTGCCAGCCTTGTCCCAATATATTCAATTTATTGTATATTCTGAATCTGAAGTAACTAATACTCACTGGAAGACAATGAATCAACCTGTTGTAATTATATTGTATGTCAGGTATATTTCATTTTGAATTTATCTTTGTGCCCATTGCCCAGGTTGATTAAAATTTCTACATTTCAAAGATAATTTCTGAAATATTCTTTTAATTGTTCATAAAAATTTGAAATTATTGCTAAAAATTTGGTACTATGTTATTTTGAAGTACTTTAATGATAATCATAAAATATTTATGTATTTTAATGATAATCATAGAAGTGATAGAACTGCCCTAAATGCCTAATACATGTTACTATACCTTTAACTAATTTAATCTTGATTTTCCAGGAAGACTATGTCACTCTTAGAGTGCCTTCTTCTGTTGATGCTGCTGGTGCTCGTGATGCATTTTTGAATCTGGCAAAAAAGTATCATCCAGACAGTGGTCATCCTGCAGCAGATGAAGGCAAATTCAAGATGATAGAAAAGAGCTATAGATGTCTCCTGAAGAAGTTCAGTGATGAAAGAAGACACAACTGTGATGCAGAAGGAGAGTATGGGCTCTATTATGAAGAGAAAAAGAGTGAACGAGAAAAGCCTGCTGATGAGGAGGCTCCAGATAAAGGTTTTTATTCAATAAAGGTGATTTGCAATCACAAATATTTATCAGGAATACTTTTGCTGAAATTTCCAAAAGCAATTATCATGACTCCAGTTCATTTATAATTTTTATTTTTGATTTACTATGGAAACGACCAAGCAACACTGAACAGTATGATGGCTTTGGATATACTGGTACTGTATTTATTTAATGTTTCATGCCATATTTCTTGTCACTGATTCAATATTCATTACATCTTAGCTGCTAATCTGTTATTGATTTTTATCCAACTGAACTAAATTTATTTTCTGGGATAACTAGAACTTAAATCTATTAAAATTGAAACTTTCTACATTAATTGGGACTACCACAAATAATATTTATTAACATTATTTATTTTTGTTCAATAGACAAGTGCTCCTCAACACAGGCAGTACCTAAGCTATGAGGGCATTGGTCTTGGCTCGCCAGCTCAAAGGGAGAAGCAATTCTCCAGATTCAAAGCCATGAGAGCCACTGAAAATATCATTGATTATAAGGTAATTTATGAGTTAAACTTTTTTCTAAAAGAACTTACACATTTCTATATTATTCTCATAATGACAATTGCAATAAATATGTTCTTAATTTGATTTGAGAGTGAGCTTATTTTTTATGATGTTAGCAATTTCTTCTCTGAGTGCTTAGAGTGCAAAAAATTTTTGGTTCATGGCTCAGGTGCAACAGCTGCAGCAGGAGCATCCAGAGACAGGGCTTGTTGCTAAGGAAAAAGCTGCAACGCGTAAGAACAGAACAAGGTGATACTGACTGCTCTAGTCTTTCCACACGCAAGTAAGCTTTTGCAAGACATTGCTTGCAAACAGATATCGACAAAATGAAGTAAAAATTTATCAACCGTACTTTTAACAAAGTAAAAATTTTCGGTCAGGACAGAGCTTATTCAAAAGTTCAGTTTCTTTTTATTTACGGAATTAGAGAACAAGTTTATGTTGGGGACCCTTATATTTTGAACTTAAATTTCAGCTAAAAAGTACAATTTCACCATCACCACTCTTGTAAAACTCAATCAAGTAATGCTGTTCTCAGATGAATTCTGAAAATCTCCATTGGAATTACGAATCAGCCAGAGCTTGTGTCTGTGATGAGCGTTTCTGCAGGTCCTATGATAAATTGAGTGCCTGAAATGGCAGATTTGAATTTGATAACCTCTTCACTAATCCTTTCCAAGAAAATTTTTATTCGGAAGCATCTATTGAAAACCTCTCTTATTTGTGAGTGGAGATTGAAAAAAATGAGACGCATTCACGAATCGTTTTCCAATAACTGGAATAAAATATTTAGAAGGAATATCTCCAGAACGATACACAGATCGACTGAACGCTGTATTACTCTGCAAAAAGATCAGAGACTTTTTCTGCAGGTATGGGCTGGAGCGCGTTGTAGAAGACCTCATCCAGGAATCGATGGCTAAAGGGGAATTTGATAATTTGTCGTGTACAGGCAAGCCTCTGCGGCATGACAACTACAACCCTTACCTCGACGTTGCCACGCACAAACTAAACCAGGTACTGAACAACTCCAATAAAAATGACTAGCTTATTCTACACAGTTTCCTTCACTATTGTTCTAGTAGTAGGTAGTGGTTAATCTGTATCTTAGATACTTCTGACACGTGCTGTGAATGGCTTTCAGTTATACGAGTCACTGAATTCATGAAGGTACCAGGACTCTCCGAGTGAGCCCTGGTGTACATGCGCATGTTTTTTTTTTTGATAGATTTCCAAATTCATATCCTGCACTTCCGTTTATGCTATCATGTGTTTCTTTTTTTAAATAATTTTTCAATAGTAAACCTATGGGTTCTCAGGAATCAACTACCATAGGTCACATTTAAAAGTACAAATTCAAAGAAAGTTGATAGACGATGTGAGATAAAGTGCAATGTAAATTCTATTTCAGGTTCTTATCGAGAACGGCTACGCTCCTCAATGGGTGCAGCTCGAGAGAGAAATTCGTGATGATAAAGAATGGATTAAGAACCAATTGAAGAAAACGCGAGCCACGCTCGGGCTTCAGCCGCTCGCTTTAAATGAGCAGGTCTTTCTATAAGAGTTTGTTTTCGCCGGGGTTCTTAATATGATACATTGATCAGTTTTTTTTGACGAGTTTTCATTGCTGTTCATCCAAACCCCGTATGTTCTCACCTCATACTTTCAGAACTATAGTTAAAGTGTAGGTAAGCCTTTTCCTCCCACAGACAGGCCATTAGCTTATCACAAATTATTACGAATACCCTAGATGGCATTCATTACTGCCATAGTATGTGCGTATAACAGTACATTTTTGCTTTGCATCCTTTTGCCCTTTGTACTTATAGACATGACTGTACATTTTTTTGCACCTTGTATCACTTTCTTCCAGAAACTCTGGGATCAGGCCGTGGCGTCACTGAATTTTCACCTATCAGACCTGAACAAGAAGATCGACAGGTACAACCTGCTGGTGCCCGTGCTGAGCAAGCAGATGGTGCATTACCCCCTGGACAGAATTTCAGCTAATATTCTCACCGAGAGTTACAGCAAACATCACCCTAATGTGCGGGAATTCCTTGCGAGTTTGAATAAAGCAGCGCCACGGCACTCACGGGTCGACAGCACCTCGTCCATTGATCAGATTAATTCTGGTGATAAGACAGCTGTCACAGCGAGTGCCAGGAGCGTCAGCGAGCAGACCAATCCACTGCAAGAGCTTTTGAATGTATTTAAAAGAACGCCAAAAAGTTAGCTCAATTCTTATAGGCACTGATTTCGATGAGAAATTTTCTTATCCGTATTAACGTCATTTGATGGATATTGATTGTCACTCATTAGATGAAAAGTTGATCGAAATTAACGAAATTTATTTAGATTTCAGCAATAATAATATCTTTTGTCAGTTCCTTACTTCATGCTTGTAAATTTAAATATTTCAAATTATTGTAGGAGGAAACTCGTGGCATAAAAAATATATTTATATTTTGAACAATAGCTTAAATAGAATATTGTCCTTGAACTTTTAATATTGTTGACATAATAGTAACTAATATCTTATTATAGACAAATTTTCAGACCATATTGAAGCCTTCAGTGTGAATGCAGCGCAAGACGTTATTTTTTTTTTATTAAAATGCGCTGATGGCATTTGTACTTTTCTTCACACTTGGATGTCATGTAAACATTGCTGACAAACGATCGCTGCAAGATTAGAAATTTAACAAAAGGCTGAAATGATACATGGCCAGGAAACGGCAGCACGTGTTGAAGTTCCTAAGTAGTAGTAGTAGTAGTCGAATGGTTTGCCAGTAATTTAGCTATCGAGCTTTTAGCATCAGGGGTCAAAAGGTAACATCACTAGCAAGGCGGTAAGCTTCAACTATTCAAAATCTCAAATTTATCATCACCCACAAGGGGGCGGAAGGTCTCAATTATCCAGTCCGCTGAAGCTAGCGCGAAAGAAGCAGCGTTAGCATCTTAAAGAGACGAAGTGACAAGGAGGGACAAGAGACAAGCAACAGGAACTTAAGCCACTCGAACAAGAGGTTGCTTATTCGGGACGTCGGCGGCCTGTACGAGAGAGACAGAGAAGGGAAATGTAAGGGATCCAACCTACATAATAAAATAATGTAAGGAATCCTTCCTGCATAATAACTTAACCCCACAACTGAGACGTGCAGGACTTCTAACGAGCACAGACACGTGTCAGAAGTCCCCCAGGAGGAGTTGAAGTTCCTAATGAAACACATAGATTTTCAACATTAGCATCACATAATGCATCTACGCCAAGTATTATCATACACGCCAATTTTCTATAAGCTAGTCGCAAGATTCAGCGAGTTACAATAGTGCCCAGCAGTCGTGAATGCATTAACAGCTCACTACATCGTGAACCTAAATATTTCGGAACGATTGAGCAGTACAGGCTAAGCAATGAAATCTTGAACCGCTCAGTGGCGCGATTTCATCCTTTGAACAGCAATAACAGTTTTTGTGCTACTCACTGGGCGGAAAGATTTCAACTTGTGCAATTCAGAAGACAATAACTAAAAAGTAATGAAACCTAGGAAATAAATCAAACATTTAAACAGACCAACATAACAGCCAACATCATAAATATAAATTTTCGACATTAAAAATATCTTATTCTAATAAAGTGTTCATTCGTATGAAAACGTAATCAATGTTAGTAAAAACTAGCAAAGTGACGCCTCATATGAATTAAGATACGGCACTGATCTTAGCATAAAAACAACCCACGAAGGAATGACCCAAATCGTCTTGGTATCCACGCTGTAGCGCGCAGGATTATACAGAAGCACGCAGATGATGCTTATAGTCTAATAAATATATGATATAGACAACGGGTTCCATATAGACTTAAATTAGTATTTACACAACACGAAACAAATCTTTGGTTCTTATTTGTTAAAGGAATGAGACTCATACTTTTTTTCTCTGCAAAACAAGCGCAGCGCCATCAAATGGTTCAGCAGGTCCAGTGTATGAGTATTTCAACAGGATTCGCTTACGTAACATATATGAAAACAACTGTAACATGAATCATCCGAGCACATGTGTAATCTCAGACATTGCTCTATCATTTTAAAATGACAGGCTCATCAATACCTGATGGAATCATATGTGTAAATTATGAATGACAAGAATGAATCAATCTTAATTCTTTTTTACACGAGTCTTCCATTGAGCAAATGTTTTACGCACGTCAGTTGAATAAATAGGAATAATTTATAGACTGAGCCGTTTCAGACAGAGCGGCGAGAAAGAATAGAGTGTTAATTTTTATCATATTGCTTCAGAATATTATTTTGATTATGTTTGTCAGCCTAACAACCTTCTTCTGACTAGCTGAAGCCAGTACTCAATTCAAACTTCAACGTAAAGGGCACCACCGTTCTTGCAATACCCACTTACAATAATGGAACACGGCTTAGAAATTATTAGGTAATTCTCTAGACTTGTCGAGGCTCAGTGAGCTTCATTTTGAGCAGAACACAAGAGTTTAAATTTTGAGCAGAACACAAGTACAAGTAAAACATGTTTTCTTGTCGAAAAGCCTCGTCTCCACCAATGCCTAGAAAGGGAAGAATCACCACAAAAAGCCAGGTACTAGGAAAAATTGCCCTACATGGCAGTTTCTGTTGAACCACGAAACTCATGCCCATATTAGGCCTGCGTTGAACTCGCGCCGTTGCTGCAGCAGTGTAGGGATGATGCAGAAGTATTTATGCCTCAGTAGTTGATGCTGACAAAGCTGCGGTAATTACAAGATATTGTATTCAACTTAATCAAATGCAAAAATTTTATCTCGCACAGACAACAAATTCAAGGGAGATAAAACTTAAATATACATAACTGAAAAAAAACTTTAATTTTTTTACCTTCAGTAAGAGCACATCATAAAGCGGTAGGAACTAGAATGTTAGAATATAACTAGTCTGCTCACCTGTTCACACAAAGATATTGATTCATTTTAACTAAGGTCAACAAATTGGCCAAAAATTCAACTCCTCAGCGGACGCAATTTGAGGTCGAATTATTAAATTATTCAAGTTGGGAATTTCATTGAAAGTAATGGTGCCGGTGTTGAGATTACTAAGAATGTGGGTTAGAGCGATGTAGTGTGTTTTAGGTGCGATTGTTTCTACACCGTAAGACCGAGTTTGTTTATATTGCCATGACTTAATTACGTGACAACACGAGAAGTAATCAGACGCGCAGTTATTACACTGACAACCATCAATGCAAGTAACGTAGCGAGTACGGTCGGACACAACAGCAGACGTGCGGCCACGAGCTGGCTGCAACGACACTGAAGTGCAAGCAATCATAATATGCGTTTAAAAATTACTTTTTAAAGACAACACTTCTAAAGAATCCAGTGTCTCCGATGTTACACATGTACAATGAAATTCTAATTTTATTATCGAATATTACAAAAATTAATTTTTTAATTTTATTTTTAAAATTAAAATAAATTGAATTTTCCAAAAATAATTTATTCGTTCAATTGATTCATGCATCGTGTCCAACTTTACGCAAGTGTGGAAAATTTCAGATCGATTGGACAGGTAGAAGTGTGTTGAATATCGATTATAAGAGTACCGTACCACTACGGCGATCCCGTAGAGTGGTACGGTTGTTATGCCGCGACCGTATCGATCACGAAGGTCCTCTGCCACAATGACGGTCGTATAGTTCTAAATAGCCGTACCGCGGTTGACGGTCTGTAGCTGTAGCGTCGTCTCTTCTAAAGATGTCTTACGTTCCGCATGTCCGTAGAACTGTCAACGGCCGTACGTTGCAATTTCTATGATGGCTAATACTTGAGTTTCATCGCTGACAGCTCGTGGCCGTACGTCTGCTGTTGTGTCCGACTGTACTCTCGACGTTACTTGCATTGATGGTTGTCAGTATAATAACTGCACGTCTGGTTGCTTCTCGTAGTTGTCGCACAAATGAGTCATTGCCAAAGTGACCTTTAAGTTGATGGTGGCTGTACAGAAATAGTAGCTGTATATATGATCAAGTTTGCCGCGATCGTTCATGTTCGAAAACAGACGAAGCCGCGGGCCTCGCGGCGGCAGCACACGACGTGCGCAGACAGTGACTGGTAGCTCCAAAGAACCAAGGGCCTTTCTAGCGCAGACTCACATTCTTCATCTACCTCGCTGGTAGTGCACACTTATCCATATCCATAGGATTAGCCGCTGAATTCGTCCGCTCATGGAAATTCCCTCGCGATTAGCTCGCCAACGTTCGATGTAAACAAATTCGGTATCGAAACTATCTCACACATTCGACATCGCTCCAACCCTCATTATTTGCCTTCACAACACCAGCACTCCGAGTTATGATGAAATTCATAACGTAAGTAATTAAATAATTTTCCCACAAATTACGTCTTGTATATACATGCTAACCAAACGATTTGAAAATAATAACTTTAAAAAACCTAAGGATTTTATTCTGAATGCGGTTTAGAGCTTGACTGACCTGGCCCAAGGTAGGTGTGGTGTTCCGCGGTGTCTGAGTCATCTTCACCAGCAGGTAGCAAGAGATTAGACGAAGCACCGTCGTCTGGGCATATCCTTTCGTTAAGCCCCCCGCTGCTGGTCGTTGACAGCCCTGCACAACATGGAAGGTATCAGTCACTGTCAACGCGACCGTTAGTTACATTGATGGTAGCTGTACATAAATGAAGCAAAATCGTGGTCGTCACTTGTAGATTGTAGTAGTTATTAAAAAAAATCATAGCTGTATGTATGATCAAACTCCTCACGACGGTTCATGTTCGAAAACGGGTCAACGTACACTACGCGTGCATTGAGTTTAGTTAATGAAGGCTCCTGCGAGGGATCCATTAGAGACAGATCCTGCTCGTGTTTAGTTAGGCAAGATGTCCACATTTAGTTAAATAGTGAAGGTAATAATTTGCCTAAAGCGGAGACAGTCGCGAAGAATCAATACACCATTGGCAAGCCATCAGATAGATAGTAAATACAAGTCCTGAATATAAAAAATTAATAGACTACAGAACATTATTTCTCATATAGAGAGCGAACATTCTGAAAAAAATCAGCTCGTGTACTGACAGCCGGAACAAAGTAAACACAGCAATAGATTAGTTATATAAATTGACGGATACTTAAACATTACCATTAAATTGCGCAACGAACAAACTAATAGAAACCAAAGGGTAAATTGAAAAGAATTCATCTCGTCCAAGAAGTCAGTGGACTAAGAAATCAAAAGCATACACACGAAGGTAATCACTAAGTATAATCTAGAATACAAATAAAAACAAATATGGTGTAGTGCTTAGATAATCCCCGCATAATAAGACCCAAAGTTCAATATTACATTAAAGCCAGCGAAATAAATGAACAGTGATCTAAATTCCTGATAGACAATATAGTACCTATAGATATAAATTCCTTGATAGCAACACACACGCCAGCATAGTAATGAAGGCAGCTAGCATAGACATGAATGATGCCATAGCAGGAACAAGAAAATACCAGACTGTGGTGCTCTCTTGATGATGGTGGTGACGAGGAGTAGCACGGAGAGCGCCCCAGCAACGCATGTACCGCCACCCACGAACGCCAGGATGTAGCGGTAGTACTCTATGCAGTGCTTGCAGATCGGGCTGCACAGGCACGGAGTCTTCACTTCGATTGTGTTGGAAAGTTTTTATACAATCTTGCAGCTGATCATCAACTGCATCATTGAGAATTTTTCTTTCACTTCGATTGTGTTGGAAAGTTTTTATACAATATTGTAGATGATCAACTGCATCGTTGAGAATTTTTCTAAGACTGAAATGAAAACAGTGTGAGCAATTAAATGCTCGAAACCAAATCCTGCTCAGTCGCATGAAGTTTTGAAGTACCAGCTAATTGCAGAGCCAGGCGCCAATTAGAAGATAATATGGCAGCAATGAAGTCTGGGCCCAACAAACCTATAGGGCGAGAAGTACTGGATGACCATAATAGCGATGCCATTAGAGAGTTTGTCGGTGAAACTCATGGCTCCATAGACGAAAGCCCCGGACTCGATGTTGTTGCCAATGAGGTCGGCGGTGATGCTGAGGGACGTGACTAACATCGTGGAGCCTCCTGCCCCCAGCAGCACCGCCACAGGGTACACCAGATACTGGCAGTACAGCTCCCCTGAGCCGAAGAAGATCCAGACGCAGCCGCCGGCCCCCAGCAGCGACCCCAGTGCGTAGGAGACCTGCCATCACAGGAGGGGATTAGTATGTGATCTTCAATCAGCAGCGTCAGTTGTTAAAAAATTATACCTAAATAACTGCAGGCTTGTTTTTTGTGGTAAAAATAGACATTTTGTTAGTGTAATGTTTCTCAAAGATGTACCCAAAAACTCATACATAAACAAATAAGCCCAGAACACTTAAATTTTCTCGCATATTCATAAGCTTCAACATTTAGACCGACCTTACGACCAAACTTGACATTGATTGGCTTGATGGCGATGGTGGTGGTGATGAAGCCCGAGACATACATGGTGAGGGGGATGTAGGCGACGCTCTGAGGGGACAGCTCGAGGGTGTCTTGCAGGTATATGGGCACGTAGGCTTGAGTCAGGTTGCAGAAGAGACGCGTGCACATGTAGAGCACAGCAACCAGGTAGAACTGCAAAGCATTTGCTCTTTTTAATACATAATTGGACGACGTAGTAAAATGGGGTGATGATAACAGATAACTAACTCTTGAGAGTGTACAGGTGGAGGTAACTGTAAGAAGGTTATCCGCACTACTGCGCGGAATAGTACCTGTTGTAAGGCCTAGCCAGTCAAGTTAGAGCACTTTGTCTCTGGTGTCCCTGCGAGGCTGACTGAGCTATTATAGGCTGCAGTACGCTACCCTCAGGTACGAGTGAATATGAACTAGTGCTCTTCAATAAGTGTCTATGAATTATTATAGATTGGATTACTGAATTATCTTTCTGTATTTTTCATTTCGACGTGTATTTATTGGTGTCATTTATTTGTCTTGGCAGGACCGTCCGAAGTCACTCTCCTCTCTGTAGTTTAAATTTAATAGTCTAGATAATGATCTGTTGGGATCCTTCAATAAATATAAAAACTTTTTTTATCTATCAACTGAACCCGACATCATCACAGTAACAAATGTGAGAGTGTACAACTGAAGGCAAAAAATGTGAGTGTACAACTGCCGGTAACAACTGTGAGAGTGTCCAATTGAAGGCAACAACTGTGAGAGTGTACAACTGAAGGCAACAACTGTGAGAGTGTCCAACTGAAGGCAAAGAGAGTGTACAACTGAAGGCAACAGCTGTGAGAGCGTCCAACTGAAGGCAACTGCAACAACTGTGAGAGTGTCCAACTGAAGGCAACAACTGTGAGAGTGTACAACTGAAGGCAACAACTGTGAGAGTGGACAACTGTCGGTAACAATTGTGAGAATGCACAACTGAAGGCAACAACTTTGAGAGTGTACAACTGAAGGCCACAACTGTGAGAATAGACAACTGTCGGTAACAACTGTGAGAATGCACAACTGAAGGCAACAACTGTGAGTGTACAACTGCCGGTAACAACTGTGAGAGCGACAAGTGTACAACTGAAGGCAACAAATGTGAGTGTGCAGATGGCAGTAACAACTGTGAAATGGTACAGCTGAAGGCAAAAACTATGAGAGTATACAGCAGGTGGCAACAAACTGTGAGAGAGTACGGTTTGAGGCAAGTACATAGAGCAAAGCTGAAGACAAATAACTGTAGGTGTGTCAGTATCAGTAAACTGTAAAAACGTTGACGGATAATGAAAAATAACTCTGTTAACAAGAGTGGCATGAGATGAGAATTAGCACTTGGGAGAACTTCCTTTACCTGCTTCTTCTTGAACCAGTCAGAGGGTAACATGCGGGACACGGATGAGGCATAGTGCTGGGAGTGGTAGGAGCTGGCTGATGATGCAGACTGCACTGAAGCTGACTGAAGAGAATTGTCTCCTTCTTCATCAATATCATCAGAAATAATTGAAGCATAAGGTGACTGGTGGTTGTTTTCTTTCACCGTCATGTGGAAAACCAACGAGAACAGTAAGCCCAAGCACACGACTGAGGCCACGACAATCTGCAAGCATTGAGATATGCTTGAACAATCTTGCTTTGATTAGATGAAATATCAGGCAAGCAGTACTACATAAATGGGCTACCAGAATGAACCAGTCTAACTCAAATTGTTAGGGTATTTCTTGTGGGGCATTAGCCATAACATTTAAATTCACAAAATAAAACAGATCTTCTAATGAATAATCATGCTTTTTACCGTAAATACAGGGTGTTTCAGAATTAAGTAACCCTTTTAATTTGTTAATAAATAAAAAACTAAGAACGTTATGAAGTTGAAACTTGTTTTATTTAAAAGAAGAACATTTTTATGGTAATATTGTATCCTAGTTTTTAAATATAATATCTTTTAAATGCCCACTTTTTAAATAAAACAAGTTTCAACTTCATAACGTTCTTAGTTTTTTATTTATTAACAAATTAAAAAGGTTACTTAATTCTGAAACACCCTGTATTACAAGAGATTACAACGTTTTTAATCGCTTTGAGTGAAGACTGATTTAATTATAACTTTCATTCACGGAAAATATGAATTTCAAAGCCTAAAGGCCCGTTTCCACTACGGGACTGATTCTGAAGGATTGAGATTGGCCTGAGACCAATAAGCCCCATGGCTGGACTTGAAAACTGGCGTGCGCGTTTCCACTACGTACGTGTGCTGGGACTGAGACTGACCGTCTGGGCTACCGCACTCGCTGGCCTTTGAAGATAGATTATGCTGCCGTTCTTGCGTTACTAGCTGTTGTCACTATGCGCAGGAGGAAACAAAGATCTATTTACCTAATAGCAGTTATGAAACGCAAGAATGGTTTCAAACTTCTCATTAACATAGTTTATCCGTGTAATAAAATGCATTCACCAAGGGATTAAGAAACAGCATTATCTTATTATACCTTTAATGTGTCGAGAAAATTAAATGTAATAAATACGTCACAATGTTTAACCATGTCTGGTTTTTGGTCTATAGATTTAGATAGGTATCATAGCGTGCTTCACAAATGGTACTACTATTTTTGGTTAATGTGTTTATTTACTATTTACTGAGTATGCATACACTGTAAGTACAATAAGATAATTAAGATTTTTTAATTGACGGACGAGTGAATCTATGTCAATAAACAGATAAAATCGGTCAATGAGAAGTTAGGAAGTATTATTTTCATTTTTCGATGTTCGTGGATGGATATAATTTCTCCATTTCTTTACTTATTTTCTCTAATTCTCAAGATTCTGTCTCTGTAAAAAAAGCTTTTTACTTGCCAGAAGCAAGGTGCCTCTCTATATAAATCGATAAGCCTTTCAGTGACATCTCTGCTCCAGTCTCTGTCGTGCGACATGGTCAGTTAAGCAAAGAGGCAGGCAATGGTGCGTCTATTGGAGCGCCAGCCCAGCACACAACCTCCTTGAACGAAAGTCACAGCGACACTGGCGATTGCCCGTCACGCAAGTCCAGTAAAAGATTGAACAGCGCTTGACTCCCCGTCACTCAAGTCTCGATGGTCGGGACTGCCTCAGTCCGGACTGAAAAAGCCAGTTTTTCAATCGTCAGTCTCGCAGAGTCTCATAGTGGAAACGGGCCTTTATGCAAACAAGTTATTGTACCTTCACTTGAGTCAATTAATTCACTAAATTATCACCTTGAATGTAGTGGCATCATTGGGGCCAATAATGTCCTCTCTCTGATGGCCAGACTGCACCCCCAGCACCAGCCACGTGATCAGGTACACGGTGATGTTAGAGAACACCGTAAATGCGTACCTCAACAAAAATGGCAAACATAAACAACGATGAATATTTTGATCAAGGAAATTGCAATTGTATCTCATGAGAAATACTATATGTGAAATCAATGTGAAATTAAATGAAAACTGGGCAATAAATATATGTAAATAGTTTAATTTTAATCTCATTCTCATTAAGAGATTTTTAATGCTACACTTTTATCTAGAAAAATTAAATTCATCAAATTTTTTGTTATTGTTCACTCTAAGCTCAGTAGCCGAATATATGATTAGCAAAACAGGGGGCTAGTTTACTTCTGAGCTAACGGCCAAAATTCACAGCTTGCTTACAAAACTTGCATATTGATAATGGGAAATCTTTCTTTGCAAGTATTAAATGAGCTGGAATGTAAGCTAGAAATGCTGCTGTGGCTGGTATTCAAGGACTGGCAAAGTTTGCAGTACCTGATGGCATTGAGCTCCGTCCTCTCATGAGGCTCACTGGTGAGCGCAGGAATGAGGGCGAGGTGACTGATCTGTACAGCCGCCCAGCCAAATTGGAAAATAACCACAAACGGGGCAAGGTACAGCACCTGTTAGCATTGCAAAACAGGATTAACAACAAATACAATAAAGGTAATAGCAACAAAATTTAGTTTATTCTCAACATGAAAAAATATAACTTGGTACTCACTGCAGTGAGTGACAGAGAGCGCATTTTCTCGTCAACAAAAACTTGAGGTCACAGACAGACGGACAGACAGACAGAGACAGACAGACGGACATGGCGAGCACAATAGTGCATTTTTTCCTCTTTTTCATAAATGAGAAAATGCGCTAAAAATGTAAAAAAAGTAAAAAAAATTGAAATGTAATTGTAACTTACACACATTTCAAATTAGGCAAAAACTGCTGAAAACAAATCGTTAAGAAATAACTAAGTAATTTTAGATGACCAACAAGTATGGACTGAATGGTATTATTATAAAAAGAATTTATATCTTGATTTGATTTACTGTTATAATTTCTAAGAAAAATTTATATTTTGATTTAGTTTATTCTAACAATTCTTTTCACCAAAAAATTTCTAATAACTAATGAATTAATCAGCACCAATCAAATTTTAATTATTACGGTACATGAATTTATAAAAATTTGCAGTTTTCATCATTTATCGAGCTGAATTATCAACAAAGTCAAAATGAGAGTAATTTGTACCTATACATATATAAAATGCAGAACCTGTAATGCAGCTTCAGAGAGAGCACAACCAAGGCACCCCATGAAGATGAAGGGGAAGGCTATGGTCACAAATATTGTCCCTGCAAAAAAAAAGCATTTCATTTCACAGGAAAATGCCAATATATTCCAAATAACTTAAGCTTTCTTCCATTAATGACACATGATTTGCCTCTGAAATTTAAGTCACCAACTTTACATAAAAATAATATATCCTCTTAACTGAATGAAAAGTGCCAAGTATTGTAGAGTTCTGCATGGATAAGTACCTAATTTTACTATATTATATTCCAGTAAAAAATATACTTTACCAAACCATAAGGAGGTTAAATTAGATACAGACTGTCCATAGTGACAGGTGGGATGGTGTGGCACTAAACTCTTGCATAAAAACATTGCAATAGCTGAAGCAAATCTTTACTTGTGGCATTTTTTTACATTCAAAGCAGCTTCTCAATTACAACAACTCACTAATTATTTAAAATTCAGGTCATTATTTTTAAATACTTACTAACTTTCTTTTAAAAGTTTCAAATAAATAAATTTATTTCTGGATCTTTGTCTGGCGTCAATCATTGCATTCTAATTATAGTATAAGATTAGCGCATCTGCAATTGAGCTGCAATATTTGCTAGATGCAGAATAGATTGAGGGAATGTTAGACACTGACTATCCATCAACATTATGTGAGCTGGTACTCTCCCATTTTTTTATTATACTTGTCCATGGGCGGAAGCATCAAAATAGCCTCCAGTAGCCTGCATTACAGCTGCAAAGAATTAATGCAGCATGATGGCCATTTATCTTAGCGATTAACCTGTTTGTATGTCTGTACTTCTTTAATGACTATATAATGTAGCCACTCCATATCAAGACATCCGTGTAAGCTAGACAGAGTGTGTCTTGCTTGTGAGTGTGTGTCCCCTCACATTGTCATTGACTCATCAAATACCTGTCCTCAATTTAAACCTATATGCAATACATATATACAGTACGGTCAGTACCTACCTATAGGTATATGCACAATATTCATCTATTACCCCAAACAGTGACAAAGACCTTAATATTGCTTCCAGACAAAGGATTATCTCCCTAGACATTTGTATAAATTACAGCCTTTCCTGGCAGGTATGAATACCTACCTACTACGGTATACAGTATTATATTATTTTTTTTTTCATTTATCAAAGAGTTTTTCAATTTAGAGCAGATATATGGATTGTTTAGAGATTGCAATTTGATTTTGCAGTGAGAAGATATTGTCTGCATTGCAACCTAATGTGTTGAAGATGAATATCTAGTAACATTCTGATAGTTTTTTATTTACAAAAAGAAAAAAGAAAAAAATGAATAAATACAAGTATCAATTAGTTATGAAACCATTGTTCCATTGTCAGTTTGAGTTAAAAAAAATTGAGTAAAGTAACAAAATACTAATAAGTTATTCATCATCTCATGATGTTGAAAAGCCTTCCAATTAAATTTTTAGTGGCACATCCCTGTTTGCTCACATCAGACAAAAATATTTTCAAGAAAGTTGGTATATTTCTGATTGAAATTATATTTTATTTGTCAAGTAGCAGGAAACATATAGGTTCATTTTTACTAAGAATTAATATAAAAATTGAAAGAAAACTGAGGAAGTTTTCTAGTAGAATAAACAGTTTTCTCACCTGCCAGATGCCACGTTTTTCTGCGGCCATATTTAATGCAGAAGACTGTGTCATCAGTGCGGTCTGCCTGAGTTCCCACAAAGGGTGTGGATATGCCATCTGCAACCTGAATAAATGCAGGGTGAGTTGAAGCCATTACATATAAACTTTGAAGCATTATTAAAACTTGCATTAATAGAAGCATGAATGTCAAATGACAGTGGAAATTTTTTTCATAAAAGTTTCACAAACAGATTTTTTTAGTGAACTTTTTTAAATAAATTCTAACAGAAATAAATTTAGAACATTCTATAAAATTAAATAACAGCTGCTAAAATAAAAAAATAAAATTTTATAAAAATGGATGCTGCACAAGTACATCTTACAGGTAAAATATATACCAAGAACACAGTTAACTTCCCAGACACACAATAAAATTTAATATAGATCATATCTGCATGGACAATGATGGAGCATTTTGCACACATAGTCACACACAATTATGGAAACTCTGTTTCCATCAACATTTTGTTTTGGACTAAAAATATTATAAATATGTAGCTAAAACTCATGTATTGATACTTCCATACATTGGAAAATCTGTATATATTAAGATAAAAAATGCCACTATTATATCATTGGCCAACAAAGAACAGATACACATAATCCAATTCAATTGCAAACAGGAGATACAGTTCAGTATCAACAATAAAATGTATTCTCATGGAATACTTTTATAATTATAGCAATAGGCCATGGGATTATTTCTTCAATGCCGACACTTCTATTCTATTCTATGTCATATGATTGATATCATAGTAAACTAACATATAGATCTTGAAATTGACCTGCAAAATAACGACCATCATGAGAATCAGTATCAGTAGAAAATTGCAATAATGATGCTCACCTGGCCAACGAGCAGCACCACACCTGCCAAGGTATTGGGAATGCGTTCAACTTTGTTGAGGAAGATGAGCAGGTATGTGAACCAGAGACTGGAGCAGAGATCATTGAGAACATGTCCAACTCCATACCCTAGCTTTGCTACAATGGATAACTGACCCATGATGACAATGAATTGAGACTAGTTTCTATAGAAATATTACTTAAATATAAAATTTACAAATTATGCAACTAGGTTCAGGTATTTAGTTTTCTACAGTATAATCCTGCAGAGTGCAGATAGAAGACTTAGAAGTGAGAAATTATCAACAAGCATGAGAGATTGAGAGTTCAGAGTCTGAACAAAGTTGGTAGATAGTAGTTAAGGATGATTAAGGGAAGATAAAAAGCATGTGTGCAGAAAATGTTGTCAACTAAATTCTAAAATACTAAATCCACACCAAAGATAAATCCACTGTGTTTTTATTAGCAAATACCTAGTGAATAGCCACACTCAGGATGATGTATGTTTTCGGTGAATTTTCCCGCGCACTTTCACTTTTTTAAGCCATTGCTGTGCACAGACACACAGTTGGTGCAATGTAATTAAAATTGATTCTCTTCGCGCACATGTTCGCGCAATCCCGGCCATCAATTCTACGTCATGCTGCCGCGCACGAGCAGTTTGTGGAGGAACAGACGTAATACTCATTACTCAGTAGTACAGTCACTACAGTACAGTATGCCTTTAATTATCTTTCAATAATGTATGATTTTTCTTGATACGGAAATTTGGTGAATGAGAAATCTAGAACCTTATTTTAAAAGAAATTTTCTCCAAAGTCATATGGCAACACTGAACATCATCTGTTTACATTTCGTATGTATAATAGCCGCAGTTTACGATGCAGTTTACAATTACCGTACGTTCCGTATCCGACAAGCGGCGGAGTCAGAAGTAACCCGGACATGTCTTACATTTTATTATTGTCAGTTCGACTCGCGTAGGTGATATAAACTTTGATCTTTGATGACCAACAAAATATAACTTTTTAATAGGGAGACTTCATGTTTATTATACTACAAGTAATGATCTTTATTTAATTAGAGCCGCGTTGCCGTGCATCCATAGTTTAACTATTTTAGCTTTTTAAAGTACGGCGCATGGCGCATTTTTTTACCAGCATAGTACGGCGTACCACGCAGGTCGTTAAAATGACAAAATAAATTCCATGCACCTGGCACATCTTCCTGACCATGGGACTGAATAGATGGACACTTAGGTTATTTTAATTATTTGATCAAATTGATCTTAACTTTTAAGCACACGTTTTAATCATAGTGGCAAACCACAGCTTTTTTAGAATCAGTTCATTTTCAATTTCCTCATTTACCCAAGATTTAAACCAATTTCTTAAGTATGATGATGCTAGTATCCAGGATACTTTACTGGTCTACTTATAGGACTCAAAAATGAACTTGAGGGAGAGTCTAAAAAACTCTCTGCTTTGCCACTATGCTTTACTTGTCTACTTATAGGACTCAAAAATGAACTTGAGGGAGAGTCTAAAAAACTCTCTGCTTTGCCACTATGGTTTTAATTGAGGCATAGCCTTGTAGGCTAGGTAGGTCGTAGGTATATGGTTATGGTCTGTACTCTGTGGAGCCCAATCAGCCAATAAGATAGGCTATAGCACAGAAGCCACAGCCCACAGATTGACTCATATTATTAATCTTACTCCATTTGAGTCTTGACTGATTTGAGCAGTTTGAACTGTGTGATCTATAATCATAATAATAATGTACAACAGTACAATTGTTAATTGTACATTATTATTAGATTGTAGCTACTGACCTACTGTTAGTACTGTAGAGTGTAGAGTGTACTCAGTGTAGCCTGTATCGCTCACCGCTCAGAGCCTCAGCTGCTCACTAGACTCCTAAATTTAAATTATTTAAGATGACTAAACGAGCACTTGGCAGCAGTTGAGTTGGCAGTAGCAGTAGTGCACTGCGAGTTGAAAGATAGTTAAAAATTGACCGACTAAAATCACTAAATCAATGACACAAACAGCACCCACAGGTGTCTCACGCCTCACGGTAACTGAATCAGTGCAACAGGGTAAATTTTGAGGACAGTGACACATATTTACCGTGGTCGTGGTGAATACAGTACGAGTCATATGTATTGGTGATTCAAACTCATGTGGTTCAAAACTTCAATAAATAAGTAAGCATCAAGTGATTTGTAAATATTTTCCATGGACACACATATCCTAATTTCGCTACAAAGTCAAGTTCTGTCAATAAATATTAAGACATATTTGTTCATGGGCCCATGGGGCCATGGCTATCATTACAACATTTAGCCGCAGACAGCTCTAATAACCGCTACGGCAACGCAGACGAAAAAGCTCGATACGAAATCTCTACATTTGTGAAGGTGCTCCGTAGTCCCAGCCCGTCGCTGTAGCTTGTTGCAACATGTTACAAATAATGTTTCCCTACAACTAATTTTTTCACACCGCGAGCATTGGGCTCATTTTTTCAACTCAAATTTCCCAGTTTTTCATAGCACATTATTATCAAGGAATAAATATTTCCAAATTATTTACTTCATGCATTATATGGCACTGTCGGTTAAATTCGCATATTTCGGTTCAATACAAAAATCGGTTTTGTTTATGTTAAGCTGCGTTAAAATAAACACCAGTAAGTAGGTAGCCTGAACATCACGGAAAATTTTTTGAAACCAAAGATAGTTTATTATAAAGATATTCTATAGTTAAATTGAGAATAGCGCAAATTATTGTGCAGCGTTTCAATCATTTCCGCTTTTGACACGTTCCTTCAAGCGAAATGTAGAACAATTGCATCTGTTACATCTACGTTGCATGCTGCATTACCATGACAGGTTGTATTCATGTTACGGGTTGCATTTATGTTACGGAATTTATTTACGTTAGACGGCGCAACAGCGTGACATTGGACTACGAAGTCCTAAACTCATCATAAGGTCATAAGGGTTATATTTATGTTAGGTGCTGTATTACTACCGTTGTTTTCACATGGCGTGTTGCATTTACGTCAAGTGTTGTATTCACATGTTTTTTTTTTCAAGATATGTGCATTATTTAACCAGTTTAACGACCATGATAACGAAAACGCTCATGGCGTGCTTCGACTTATCGCAAGTAGATTGTAATTTCGATTATGCATTTTTCAAAGTTAGTCCTACCGTTCTCGTATAACTCGTAGATATATTCTAATCTAAAGTTATGAAGCCAAGCGCTCCACGAACGCAGTCCAGCCGGTCCAAGAACATGGTTCATCTGGTCCACGAACCTGGTACAGGCGGTTCCAAAACACACGAACAACATCCAGAAGGTCCATGAATATGTTTTATCTAGTCCACGAAAACACACAAATGATGCACCGAATCTGCGAACATGATTCGTCCGGTCTGCGAACGTGGTTCATCAGGTTCACGGACCTCGGCCATCTACAGTGTACGAAGATGGTTTTCCAGTTCCTGATATTTATCACGGTTGGTCAATTTGTAATATACATATAAAAAATTACAATACAAAAAATACAGGCACGAACCTAGAGGACTAAAAAATAAGTCCCGATTTATTGATGATTTTTTTTAAGGATTTTTAATGGGAAATCTGCTTCCATAATCACTTGAAGATTACCCAAATTGAGACCAGTGTCATTGCTAGATTAACAGTCGTATTGTAGAAAAAAAAAACATCAAGAAGATATATAGTACAACTAAATATCACATCAGCCTGCGTGCAGAAACATTTAATTCCTGAAAATAATTCCAAGATAGAAACAAAATTTGTCTTGAAAGATTCAAGTCCCACTTTGACTTTCCGAGCAAATGTGGATACAAATACTTTTCCATACTTCTAGACCGTTCCGGCACATTTTCTTTCCTCGCCAAGGAAATAATCTAAAAGATATTCAGCATATAATATGTAACAATGTTTCAATTTTTTGCTCAGTGATTAAAACGACATAACCACGAAGTGCGTCACGGCAACGATAAATGTAGTAACATCCTTCTGCGTTCTAAACTCAAGCACTTTTCACTCGCACATGCCGTGTCTACAGATGCTGGGGGTCACGCGGCTCCAAACGCACTAATATGGTCGATGTCGTATAGTTTGATCTAAAGCACTTAGATGAGAGCGAGATTGGGCCGCTCTACAAGCTAATCTAGATCGAGAACTTGAATGATAAGGGAAGTGATTATCTGGCGCTGATGGCAAACTAGAGAGTGATAGCATTCAAGGTCCACTCTGAACTGTCACTTTCAGATAATTCAAAGAAATTATAAGATTTTTCGACAGGGAGGAGTAAATCGGCCAATAATAATGTAGAAAACTCTGTTTTAATAATGAATCTTACGGTGAATGTCAAGGGATTGCAGGTAATTGCGCAATTTCAAAGTGGTGGTCGTGTTTCGAATGTGCCGATCGTCGGACCGCGATAGCGGTGGGTGAAATTGTGGACAGAAGTTCATGTTAGAGCATATTACAAAGGAATATTGATGACCAGGCGCTTCCTGCAAACCATCTCTCACCAAAATCTCTGCAGAGCAGTGAGCACCATGCCTTTAATAAATACTATTTGTTTGTACTATTGTACTATTTATTTATTAATACTATTGTTGTATTAATAAATAAATATTTGTTCATGAAATTAAAAGTATCACGCATGTCTTTCCAACGCGTGCTGCCTTTCAGCAGCAGCCACATATCCAGCATCTAAACCCAAGCAGGACTTAGTGCGTCACGCGCGCGTCGAGGATACATGGCTGCTATTGAAACATACCAAACCAGTTCAGGCCCTTCGATAAACCACACAGAATGGTAGCATCAGTTTGTAATTAGCGACAGATGAGAGAAGGTACTAGCAATCTCATGGCGAGGAATATGTGGAAGCGATTGTGAGAGATGATGGAGCGCATCAACAATCTGATGAGGAATATGTGGTGGCGATTGCGCGAGATAATAGGTCGTACTAACAATCTGGCGATCATTAAATGGTGGCGATTGTGAGAGATGATAGAGCGCATCAACAATCTGATGAGGAATATGTGGAGGCGATTGTGAGAGATAGGTAATAGGTCGTACTAACAATCTGATGTCGATCATTATGTGGTGGCGATTGTGAGAGATAATTTGAGGGTGAATAATGGCTGTAGTGGGTGCAATTAAAGTCATTATGCGATGAGCATTATAGAACGGCGGATTGCTTAGGGAATCTCATCTCGATTCTTTACATATTAGTACTGAATTGCTAGACTTCGCACGACAGCAAGATTGGTGGCAATAACGTACACCTGAGAAAAGCACAGACCTTCAACTTTAGCAGCATGTTGGGACTTTAATAATAATCTGCTAGATGTAGTCTGGTTGCAAGATTATCATAATGAGTGAAAATGTACGTTATTGTTCATAGTTCAATTTTAGGATTTACACTCGCTGGGTTCTATTGATTGGTGTTATCTTTGCGGCAGAAGATTGAACGGAATATTGGTAACGTAATAATATAGTTCGATAGTCATATAAGCTAACAAATGTCATTTATATATCTACTTGATTATTAGTCAATACAAGCAATAGTTTACTACAGTTTTTGACCTTCCTATGTAAAGTCTAGTTACTACAATCACTGGCTCATCATGAGGTTACTTAGATAGACAAGGTTCTGTATATAGGCAATGCATGACCCCAATCGGTAGTCGCGTTTCACTGCAGGATAAAAACCAATTGATAATGTGCTCATAGAAATGCCGCTCAACTGATGAATAAACATTGAGATTCCTCACATTATGATATGCGGAACTAGTAACAGGTAGCGTATTTGGGACTAGGTTCCTCACATTCGTAACAGGTAGCGAAACTAAAAACGATGAGATACAATACTGTCAACACAAAGACTTGTCAGCCAGCTCATCACACAAGATTAAGTAAGGCACTCGTTCCATTATTATACTAATTTTTTTGGAGATGCCAAAACATATCTATAAATGGAAGCTAACTTCAAAGCAAGGCAAAAAAATAACATATGAAATATTATTCAATGGTACAAATTAAATACTACATTGTTACTGTTTTTAGTACCGATCAGCCATCAAGCAGCCACAACACTGAATATTTTTATTCACACTCCAAGATGAATTAAAGCTCTGATGAGACGCGCTTGTTTACTACGAATCCAGAGCCTGGCACATTTGGTCCACGAGACGAGCTCGCTTCGCAAGAGCTGAGGCTGGTGCGGCAACGATCTCAGGCTCGGGATGGTTGAGACTTGTGGCGTCTTCATTTGTTATCAAGGGCCCTGCCCAATGGTCGTTGTTGTCGAGGCAGACGTTGTGCAGGATGCAGCAGGCTGTCGTAAATTCTACCACTCTCTCTATACTCATTTCCAGTTTATTCAAAGTCTGGAACCTGCTTCTCATTTCTACAAAAGTTGAAGGCGTGATGGACTGCGTCTTCAGGAGCCTTTCATTGAAATCAAGATTTTGGTCGTTGTTGACCTCATGAGCTTTAAAAGGAACCATCAAACCATCTCGTAGCTGGAAATTTTCACTACCAATCAAGTGATATTTGTCAAGTGGGAAATAGTCGTTGGGAATGTTGTCCAGATTGGAGCCCAAATCTGTGCTTTCCAGGCATTTTTGGTCTGTAAACGTCCCTGGATAACCAACACTAACGTAAGTAAATTTCTTTTGGGCATCACAAATTGCAAGCAGAATGATAGTATATTTTCCTCGTGAATTTCGGTATTCATCGTGCATCTTCTCAGGCGCTCGAGACACAAGATGCATGGCGTCAATAGCACCAAGAACACCAGGAAATTGATGAACCTCGTAGAATTCATCAGCGGTGGATTCAGGCGAAATAGGCCATTTGATGGCATTGGTGCTCAACAAATTGATATCATTGATAGTCCTGCAGACCAGCCTGCAGATATTAGCTTCACAGTAGCCAAATAAGTTATGTAGATCCTTGTATACTTTCTTGCTAGTCAAATATATGATGGTCATGAGAAGTCTTATTCTTAGGCATATTTCTTGACTGCGTCTTGCTGATGTATCTCTGGTCACCTCACTAATGCGTGTCATGAGATCCTCAAAGGTTGACCGCGACACTCCAACACATGAAGCGAAGCATTCATCCTTCATGAAGCACAGCTGAGCAGCGTAGTTGTAGCCTTGAGCGTTGCGACGTGGCCTGCTGCAGCAAATATGTAGATTAAAAATGCACATCTAACAGATTTCTTCTAACTCCACTTTAGTTTAATGTTACTAAATGAAATAGTGACTAAAATTACATGATTGCAGGATGTTTGATCGTGGTGAAGAGCTGGAAAAAAGGTGTAGTTATATGAGCATAATTTATTGAAAAAGTCAAAGAAAAGAGGATCTAAGCAAAGCATAATCAAATTTGTACTATTCAAAAGAAAAGAAAATGTGAAAGAAAACTCACCCAAATTTCCGGGTTATGGATTTATTCACACTTATTGTCTGAAGATCTGATGATTCTCCACAAGGATTCCTGTAGAATCAGGATATAGATATGATTTTTCTAATAGGATTTAAATAAACCATACTGCCAATCATCAAAATTTTAATTCTAGTATTCATATTTCAAATGAAGAAACATCAGAACAAATAAAAATTCCAAGAATCATATAAATTAATTTGATACTACTGTTTTAATATTTGACTTAAAAAAATCAGCATCGATGCAGTCAAATTTGATCACATTTTCCAATTTTAAACTTGAATGAATTTCATTATTTATAATATGAATAATGGAATTTTAGTTCATTTCATTGCCAAAATTATAAAGAATGGAACACCCACTTTCCAAGCCAGTACCTACTATGAAAATTCAGAATTTGAACTAATTCTATTGGCACAAGAATATGCATCCTTTCCACTGTAAAATAATATTCATTGGTAACTTGCCTGGCTCTCAGAGGCACAATACGCTGGATATTAGGTTCTTGGGTAATGCATACAGTTTGTGGGGAGTCGTTGCGATGCAAGCGCTTGACTCGGATCTTGTGTTTAGGAGTAAGTTTTGTGCTGTAAGAAAAGTTCCAACAACAAAAATAGGTAAACAAAAATGTTCTATAAAAATTTTTGGGAATTATTTCAAACATTAGGTAGGTAAAAAATCATTATCAGTACCAGAAAATGTTGATTATCACACCAAGTAAAAATGTTTATTATTTATTGATTTAAATCATATTTGAAATCTTTGAAAAAGTCTAAAAATTTCAAATACATTAGAAATCACCAATACTTAGCTATAACTATCTGGAAGCATTTTTTTTCAAGTTCTAGAATTGTTTCTCTCTACTGGAGAAGAAAAAAGCACAAAAATAATTACTGATTCGATAAAAATTAAGCAAATTGTTTAGTCTTGTCATATTGAGAAGAGATAGATGAAACCTTCAATATTTAATTTAACAGGGAATGCCTAACAAGTTTCCTTTAAATCAAATGAAATTTAATATAAACATTAATTAATTACCTTGCAAAATTGATGAAAGAGTTGCATGCTGAGTAATGGGAATAGATGACTGACTGTTGCCTGAATTCTTCAGTTCCAGCTTCTTCTCCTATTAATTTGAAAATCATGCTTCCAAATTTATGCCCAACACTGAGTAAATCCATAGTAGAAATATCTTTGTATAATTAAAACTGAAATGGGGTCCAGAGACGACAGTATAAAATTTCCAAATGGCTTATTTGACTTACGCTCATTCTTGAATTTTTCAGCAGCTCTTCACTCCTACCATACACCGTGTTCTTCATGACACATCAAACAACTTAAGAGAAGGTAGTTGAGAACTGGAAAACCTTGTAAGAAAAAGATATAATGAGACAAGAGGCCATTAACATACACTGAGTTAATCATAATGTAACTTATTTTTAGTAATAATGCACAGTATGATAAAGGTTTTTCAATAACTCTAATCAACTACACAGCATGAGGCAGTTACTCAGAGAGCATGCCAGTACAAGATGGGAATGATGATGGACAGGACAAACCCTAGAACATCATTTCAATATATAGGTACCACAAAGGGAAACTATGTCAAGCAAAAATTATAATCTGCTAATGCTCAGTTAACCAAATATGTAGAGTTGGCAATTATGTAGCAATATTTGATTTTTTCAACCCCAAAATGCTGCCTGTATTATTGAGGATTTGTTGCCAAAACTGTCTATACCATCAAGATTTCTAGTCATATACAAACATGTAAAAAGAAAGAAAAGAATATAGTGGCAGGATTTTTTGAAGAAATAGATTTTAATGCTGATATGTCACAAAAAAAACTTTGCTCTCTGCACCCTGGTAGCTTCTACTTCTAAGCTGTTAGCTCCTAGCACGATTGGACTCAAGAAAATAACATTTTGCTTTTGCAGCACTTGCAAGGTAAGTGTCTCACATTGAGCTTTGTAGGTTAATCATCACCTGCCTACAGTTTGGTTAGGCAACAACTCCAATTGAGTATGGGCAATGTTGCTGTTGTAGCCACACGCTTTCAGTCTTGCCATCACCTGTCCAGCTGAGGCTGGAGCCAACGCACTACCACTGCTGAGTCTCTGTAAAGATCTACAGAGTTCAGAGATGTTGGGTGGGTCACATCATCTAGGAAGAGATGGCATTTGTTGATATGTTGATAAAGTTATTGTTGATTCTGCTTTTGTAGCTGTTTAGAAGTATGCAGTGATTAGAGACATGAAAGTGTGCAAACATACATCTTGCTTATCTTGGAAGTGATTATTCAGATTTTTATATTGTTGGAACTTGGAAGTGGAAGATGCCTGCCATTGATGATGATGGAAGTAGGTACCAGCTCATAGCAGGAGCCAGGAGTTGATGGTAGCTTGCACAATGCTGGAGTCTGGAGTGAATGTTATTACTGGCTGTTTCAACTTTCAAGGGTTGCAACCAGTCAGCCGGACAATGAGAAAGATGAAGAGAGTTTCTACAATGAAAAACTGGTCAATTACATTGTCAATACTATCAACTGGGGTGACTTTGGCTGCCGGGGTGACTTTGGCTGTGTTCTTGATTTTGTTTTGCAAACAAAAGCGGGGTCATAAACGATGGCCAAAGTCACTCCGGCGTTTATGACCTCGTTTACGACCCTGGCGTTTATGACCCCAGCGTTTACGACCCCGTTTTTGTTTGCAAAACAAAATAAAAAACGGGACCAAAGTCACCCGGCGGCCGAAGTCACCCCAGTTGACGGTATTGAATAACATTAAGCTGCAATGGATTAGAGTGCAAGTAATTAAAGGGCTGAAAATTAGGCTAATGGTTAAATATACCAGTATGTATAACACTGCAGGGCAGGGTGGCCCAGTGGTTACAGTTCAGAGTACCAGGATTGGAGCAGAGAGGCGCAGGTTTGTATCCCAGCTCTGTGCGCCAGTTTCTGGTCAGAATCAACAAGGAGGCCGGGCAGTAAAGCACAGCAGAATTATTGTAGCAGTGAGTTGCCAGTTCAAGACCGCAACAAGCTGTGCCTGTGAATGCTCTGTGTCTGTGATGTTAAGAATTGCCGACAGGCCTACAGCCTAAGTACCGGTAACGCTGAAACTGCTACAATTATTATTATTATTATGTATTAATGAGTATTTTTAAGGAGTTGAGAATGGTAAACTGGTAAGGAGCTAAGGACTACCTACTAGTTGGGTAGTACCTAGAGGCTAGAGATAAAGGGCATAGATAAGGTTCTAAACAAACTTCCAGTTCCAGTTCTGCAGTAATAAAATGTAAAATAAAAACAAAAATCAATTGTTTATTCAGCTAAAAAATTATAATATGAATATAACTGACATAGTATAACCATAAAGCAGGGTGCCTTTGACCAGTTGGGTGACTGGGACCACTTTGACATTTGAGAAAAGAAAAATGTATAATGAAAAAAATTCTTGCCTTAGAAAAATTGTGTCAATGGCTCTTGAAGTATCTTGAAATAACCTACGCAAACAAAGTCAAAATCAAAAAAATTGTCACAAGCTGAATATCATTGCTTCTTGGGTTAGGAGGTTAGGTAGTTTATATACCTACAAAGTTTCATTCCAATCTGTTGCTGTTGATGAAATTTTTTTTCACTGCGAATTTAAGCACATATGGCTGTTTAAATCACGAATGAGGGTGAAATTGAAAAAAAAAAACTCATAAATGAAGGCAAAATCTAAAAAAAATTTACCACCAGGCCGCTGCAAAGGCCTGACTCTGAAGGGAGCGGGGAGCGCTGCCGTAGCCCAAAAATTCGACTCTTAAATCAGCCCAAGAGCCAATGCCAACCCTCTACATGCAATATAAATAGTCAACCTAACACCTATGCAGCTGTTCTTAGTTCTTACTTGCCTCATCTCTCCACACCAGCGTGAAAGTTGAAACAAGCAATGCCTCAGCCCACGCCCCACAAGCTGATACTCCAAACGGATTATGCCCAATAGCTCCTACTACCTACACTAAAGATTTAAGCCCATACCATCACTTCTTACACATGCCGTAAGCCACAGTGTCTGCAGACCGCACAAGACTGCCGTAAATGGGAATGGCCCCGCACCAGACTGTCACATCACCTTACCCACTTCGCAGGCGGCAGGCGGAGCCGCGTAAGCCCAGCCCTGACGTTCTCCAGCATCTTCTTCCTCCACATTTACCACAGTTCTCTCCACCTTTCCGCAAAAGGAAAAGGGTTAGGTTAGGTTAGAATTCTTCCGCAAGCTGGTACCAAAAGGAGGGGGACTTGGGGAGCAGGGGGGAAGCGTGGAGGTTTAGCCTCCAGAACGGACAGGCAGGGGAATAGCCTTTAGAAGAACGGACAGGCTGGAGAGGTAGCAGTGTACTGATAGCTCTGTGGCGCAGGGTGTTCTTTATCAAAAGTGGTGAAGGGGCTAGGCTGCATGGAATAGAAATATTTCAGGGTTTAGCGTGTTGGTTACGACCATTGTTTTGGCAGCTTGCAGCTCATTGCATTGGCTTGCTGGTATTAGATCCATGAAGGGATTTAGTCCCTGCGGCTTTCAGCAAGTAATCATGTTGGCTAATTAAGTAATTTGCTCTGCAGCCAGCAGCATGCTCGGCATTGCTCGCGCACGGGGTGAAGTATGAAAATTATGCTGGTATTGGGCAATGCTGGGCTATTTCAGTCGTCCCACTCTGAAATGTTGTTCTTCCCTTCAGAGTCACCACTCAGCACTCACCAATAAATGTCACCATGCCCCAAATCCTACTGGTAACTTCTGAAGACTAGTCCAATGCGGCCCCACGACAGGGTTTTGAGTTATGTTTGCCTAAGTAATTTTTTCATGTGGCACTTTATGGACTTCATAAATCACAGTTACTCTCAATCAGTGCGCCACCTTGCCTAACTTTAGCTCCCTGCCTAACTCAAGCTCTTTCTTTTTTCTTAGCACCTGTTGAAGAGAATACGCCACGGCGGAGTAGTGGAACACGGCAAAGCCAAGAAACACGGCAGAGCGGAGCCTCTGTTGTTGTTTTGTCTGCTTCTTGAGGAAGTGGAGTCGTCCTCCATACACCTCACGGCTCAAAAGGCTCCCTCGTCTGGCAAGCCAATCTGTAATAAATAAAACCATTAGGTAAAATAATTGTGTCTTATGAGAGTTAAATTGTGCAACTGATTAGCCTACCAGTTAGTAACCCTTACCTAGCACTAATCTTGTCATTTGGACACAAGGATTCATAGGGCCAAAATGGTCCAGCCTGGGCTGGCGCAGCCTGGAGCATTCAATTTGTTCTCAGGGGGAAGTGACTAGATATTTACGAGCATACCACGGACCCTACTACATATACTTTACCACTACTACAGTCCGGGTATGGGGGCAAAAAAGAATAATTTCTTGGTCCAAAGACTTATCTTAAGGACAGTGAGACAACCTCCAGCAACTCCCCCTTACAGGTGATGCACTTACATTCCTATGTACATCTGCAGGAGAGGTGCTGGTGGTTTGTGGCCATTTGGCCTTTTTGAAGTTCTTTGTCTAGGTTATTGGTTAGGTTTAAAGTTGCTTCAACTTTCCCATTGAGGCTAAGAAAAGTGATACACTTTGCATAATTTGTGCTTGGATTTGATGAGGATATTCTCCTCCACCTAATATGCATTTTAATGTAACTGGAACTCCAATTGAGTGCAGTTGGGTCAGCAAATCTGAGCGACTGTCAGCAAATAATGGGCATTGCAAGAAGAAGTGCTGGATTGTTTCAGCTCTCCCACATAAACAAAGGTCTGTGTTAGTCATATTAAACCTGAACAAGTGCTCCCCAAGTCCCACATGCCCTAATCTGAATTTCGCCAATGTGGTTTCAATGGTTCTCTCCCTGATGGATGACCAAGGCCAATATCCCACTCGGTCCCTAATTTTCAAAAGGTGGTGCCCAGTGTTAGTAATTGCTGCCCTCTGTCTCCATCCTTCCTCCCAAGCTCTCCGGACTGCCACTCTTATCCCTCTCACCTTGTCCTCCCTGCTCATTACAGCCTCAGCTGATACCTCGGGTAATGCATGGGCGGCTTTAGCCGCCAGGTCTGCCATCTCATTTCCCCTGATGTTCTTGTGGCCCGGGACAAACTGGATCACAACTGGAAGATGAGCTCAAAGGACATGCAATATTTGATGAATCTGGAATACCAATGGTAAATGAGATGATGGTCTACGGGATGCCAGTAAATTCAGACTTGATAATGAATCTGTGTACACCACAGCTCCCTGGTCATCAGCATTCCTATCCCTAATTATAAGAGCAGCCTGAGCAATGGCAAATAGTTCACAACTCAAGATTGAATCCTCTGGATGTAATTTCCAGT